TATCAATACGGATTCGGAATTGAAAAAGATCCTGACATGGCTTTAAAATGGTACAAAAGAGCCCATGAAAACGGCCATAATATAGCAGGGGAGATGATTGAGACATTTGATTTTGAGCGTCAATATTCTCTATTGTAATACTTATATTCTAATTTTTTATTGGATACGTTTGAGCTTTCAAGTATTTGTACACGGATCTGTATAACACGTGCTTGATACAAGAACTCGAACAATTTATTAATAAAAAATGTATTAACTAGCAAGAGAAGTTAGATAAAGAAAATTGTTCCTTTTTCCATACAGAAAAAGATCTTATACATACATTTATTCATCCTTGGATCTCAAATCAGCCTATTGATAAGTTGATGTCTGAGCGGAAAATCAACTAAAAACAGTAATGATCATTCTCAGAAAAGATAAATACCTCTGGAAGGTATTGTTATATGGATTAATAAATGTACGTCAATTTCTACAAGTTCTTTTTAATAAGCAAGTCTAAAAGATGGCTTGACTAATCCGCACCTTTTTTTAACGTAGCTTTTGAGTTCACCAAGTTCGTCATGGTCAAGTTTTGTTTAACAATATATTTTGCATACATCTTTTTAACTTGGTTTCCAGTTCTTTTGCTCTCCAAGCTCGCATACCTTTTTTATCACATCCAACATGTCTTGTTCCATCATGATTATCCCACAAAAGATTACCTCAAGTATCTTCAGGCGGATCATTATTCAAGGCAAAATACTTTGCCAACATTTGTTGACGGCATATGTAAAATTTTTTAACAGTAATAGATAATCTTGTTGTTCAACTGTGAAGATATTCGCGTCATTTACTTGCTTCAGCAGTATCATCTTTATCTTCAGATGAACTAAAGTATTATGAATGAATTAGCGGCTGTTGTAGTTTTTTTAACCTTTCACGTTAGATAGTTGAGAAAAAATATGGTTTTCCATCACGTGTTGCATGTCATATTTCTTGTATATAGAAAAAGTGAATTTAAAAATCAAATATACCGATACAGATTGGCCATGATTTGAAAGACAGTCTAGAATGTAATTAGAAAATGCGACCGGAAATTGTAATCAGTAACAGAACATTGCAACGGCATCAACAAAACTTTAAACAAACTCACTAATAAATTTCAACAAACGACCAAAAGCAAGAAAATTGACGCAAATTTGAATATTATTACACTACGAATTCGCCATCAACAAACTGGAATAAAAAAAAAACGAAAAGAAGATGAAAGATGGTAAGAAGTCAAAAAAATTCGATAATAGAAGCAAGCTCAACACAGAACTGACACCGGGATTACAACAATGAGCAAAATTCAGAAAACAACGCAATTATTCCTATCAAGCTGCGCATTTCTCGGAATCAACAAAAAGCCAAACGGAACTGCACTCTGATAACAATAACAACAGATCAAAAAAATGCTGCCATCAACAAGAATCGGCAAAATTCCGCCATCAAAGGAAACTAGAACCATGAGAACAAGAAAAAACGAATTACAAGATGCTGCTTCCAGTTCCCACAGTTCTAGAAATGGTGAAAACATACATTTTCACCGGAATCTTAATAATTCCAGTTAGAAATCGTCTATTACCACCCAATACTCCCAACAGCAACTTGAAATAGAACATTGTTCACCAGAAAGGTCGCAATGATCGCCAAATTAATTGCGAGTTGAAAGAATCCACGAATGACCAGAAAAAGATCCGGTAGTTCACAATAGAACCACCGTAAAATAATCAAACTGGAAATACGGACTAAAAACGTGCAGAACACAAAACAATGTGAATTAGTTGAATTCGCATTGATAATAGAGCACCAGAAAAGTGGCGAAATCTATGAAAGTTAGAATTAGAAACTGGTGACTCATAGAACTCTTCCCAAAAACTTCTAGCATGAACTAGTGGCAAAAAAATTTCCAGATCCCATGATCTCCGATCCCGATGCCGACCATCCGATATACCTTTAAAATTATGCACCAATCAAATCGCAAGATCAACGTACAACGCAAAAATTCAAACAATGCTTGTTTTTGAAAAATAGCTTGTATCTTAAAACTTTGTCTATGAAACTATCTTTGTGCTTTAATGAAAAATGTTCCTTGCAAAATTTTACTATACTTTGTAACCCTAACCGAAATTCTATTTAATATTATACATTATAATTTAAGGGGTATATCGGATGGTCAGCATCGGGATCGGAGATCACGGGATCTGGGAATTTTTTTGCCACCACTTTTCTATCTAGCATGAATCTGTGCTCGGTTCGCGATCACATGATAACAAACTAATAAGAATGCGCATCATTATTGGTTTGTCATGTGCATGTGATCAGGAACATGAATTACACCAACATAGCGGGCTTTCTTTGTGATTGGCTAATTTTTTAATTTTGCTAAAATTCTATTGGTTGATAAAATAGCATACTTTCTTAATGATAAAGATCATTAATAATTTTTTAGCATTAACAATTACATGTAGCTTTTCTTTGCCAATTTAAATGTTTAATATCTGATATAGTCACTTTATACAGAAACGCCATTCTTTTCATAATCACAAATCATCTTCTCCCACCAGGTCACATAATATTTTGTCTTCTCACCAACAGGACAACATCTATGAAATAAAATATACATAACGATAAAGTAAAAGGGGTATTGTGGCGGAGTAACGATATCTCGATAACTAGCGATTCCGATCGCTAGTTATCGAGATATCGCACTGAACGTCATAATATGTCAGATTTTCGCCAATTTAAAGGCAATATCTCGATGTGAATTGGCGAAGATCTAATATACGGGCGAAGATTTAACATACGGTGATTTTCAAGGCGATATCTCGATATCCAGTGATCGGAATCACATGAAATTACTACCATTTGATTCGTCATGTCTAAACGAATCAAATGGTGGTATTTTCATGTGATCCCGATAGCTAGTTATCGAGGTATTGCATATTTTCTTTACTTCGCCAAAATACCCCCCCCCCCCCTGCACAATTTTCATCAGGATCCAGTCAATAACGAACTATCAATGGTCAACCGTAGATACGTATGTATTTTAGATATTCAGTGTAATCAGTGTTTAAAATTGACCTGCGCAGTCTGCGCACCGCAGATTGGAGGCTGGTTGCGCAGATAAAAAAATTCATATTTTAATCTTAAATTCAATGAAGCATTGATATTATCATGCGCCTATTGAGAAAATTTTGCGCATAGATTATTTTGAACGTATGCGGGCGCGCAGATTAATTTTTAAATGAATTTTAAACACTGAGTGTAATCATTCAATAACACCAGATAAAAACGACAATAATAATAAGACCTCGAGAACTTTTTATTTTGTGTTATATATCGTTATCACTCCTTTTCTTTTTCTATACTACATATATATTTAAGGATTTTTTGATTCATCCAACTATCCTCGATAATCATCATCATCGTCCTCGTCATCGCCTTCATCTAAATTGTATTCATCGTCATCGTCCTCATTTGAATCGGTATAATCAATGTACTTTTTAGGTTGAGTACGTTGACGAAGATTCTTTCGAGCTGACGAGACATGATCCGTGTCTTTATTTCCATTGTCGGTTGTTTCTTCGTTGGCCTCCTCGTCTTCTTCATCGGAGATGACAATTGTTCGACGTGAACTATTTTTCCGTGCGGGTTTTTTTAATGTAAAGTCGTCATCATCAGATTCTTCTTTTAGATTCTTTTTCGTAGTACGTGTTTTATTTTTTGGAGGATCCATGGTTTGCTCCTTTCCTTTGCGTGATGCTTTAGGGGCTGGTTCTGGCAGCAGTTCCACAGCCTTTTCTTTCCCTTTCTTACCAGTCGTAGTACTAGTAGTAGGAGCAGGAGTAACGCTATCGAAATCATAATCAAAATCAAAGTTTGATGGCTTTGTTTCTTCAGATGCTGTTGTTGACTTTGAATCATTTGGTTTTTCGAAGTATGAATCGATGCTCTTCTGCAATCAAGAAAGTAGATGAATGGTTAGTTATATTGCAAAATTATCGAGATTAAATACTGAAAATTTTTTCATTTTACTGAAAAATGCCAATTATTAAAAATTTTCAATATCAAAATATATTAATGTAAACTTCGAATTTTTTTAGCTAATATCAAAAATGGAATTTAACAATGCTATATCACATACTTGATTCGTTGCGGGTTTTGTAGTGGTAGTAGTTTTAGAGGATGAAGCCTTTGTTTTTCGGTTTTTAGCTTTCGAGTTCGAGTTGGATATTAAAGGCTCGGATTTGACTTCTGCTTCTTTTTCCTCGACAAATTTCTAATACCGAATCAAATGTTAGTAATAGATGTTTTCTATTTTGTACTAAGGCAAAATAAAATAACTCACATCCCACTCGATCAAGAATGCCTCCAAATCGTTATTCCACAAATCTTTAGCAGAAAGCCCTTGAAGAGCGTTCAGCTCATCATTCTTTTGATTACGCTCGTCCTCAAGTTTTTTCGCCTAAATAAAGATCAAAAAATTTACCATAAAAATTTCCCAAATAACAAATAAAATTCAAAGAACGAGAACGACAACTACTTGCCCTCTCATATGTGATACTTCGAATAGGCATAGTTAACAGGTAATCGTAGCCGTGACCGTTATTATTCTCTTCTTCGTTTTCTTCATCGTTTTTTTGAGTGGTGTCGAATCGCTTAAATTTGTGCTCTTCTAGTAATGCGACCACCACTGCGTGCTTTTTATTTTTGATTTCAAGCTGTTCGTTGATTATCATATTGACGAAACGATACTTGTTCTCCAGTCGAGCACATTGTTCTTCAAGATCTCTGATCAAGTATTCCTATATAACAAACTATGATTAGATTATAGAAAGAAGTTAATCGAACGAAAATAAAAAGCAAAGAAACTTGCCTTCCGCTTATAATAATATTCTAATCGAAGATCATAGAACTGTTGTAATATCTCTTCGGCAGAGTTGTACTTTCGTAAACGGCCCTCCGGATCAAAGCACACCATGTTCGAGGTAGTTATTGATTTAATGAGCTTGAATGTATTCTCGAGACCTTCTGCCTCGGCTTTTTGCATATTCTCAGGTAGAAAAGTCACGATGATGCGCACAGTCTCACTACTATGGTAGCTTTTGTAATCCTATATATTAATTTCGGTAAAAAAAGCATATCTGGCTAGCAATAGTAAGGCATTTGATTAAAAAATAATGTAAACAGAGCTTACTCTGATGAGCCCATCATCACACATCTTACTCAAACTCTCTTTAAAACTTGTAGTCCAAACACCAATCGGTAATTCCAGTATCTCGACCGTTGTGTCGTCGATTTTGTTGATGATACCATGAACTTTGTATCTTGTTTCGTTTTCTTTCACGATTTCACCCTAAATGAAGAATACAATTTTTTTATGACAATGGTTAGAACTCTACAAGACTATATATATGATAGGAAAATTGGGATTAGAATCTCACCTTGAATCCACGATACCACGGGTGCATTGGAACCATCTCTTCTTTATTCATTAATCTTCTAATATTATCAACTATATCTCGAGGATTATGATTGGGGATGTCGGAACTCCATCCTGTAATTTATTAATTGAAAATCAATTATTTTGAATGTATGTCTAAATCTTGTTTTCAAATACAAGAAACGAAACGCAAACGTACCTGTTCCGATACCACTGCAACCATTAACAAGAACCATTGGCAAAATAGGAATATACCTGTTGTCAAAGTAACATTTTAAATGGTATTAGATGATTACCCCCAATCGATAATTTTTAAAGTTACAAAAGAAACTAACCATTCGGGTTCAATGTTTTGTCCATCATCGTTCAAATATTTTACGAGATTATTATCGGTAGGATGGAACAGAATCTTAAGTAATTTCGAAGGTTGTGTGAAAATATAACGAGCCTGCGCTGCATCTTTACCGCCCTAATGTTTCAACATCGGAATCATTATTGAATTATTAACAAACACAATCGAACATGTAAACTTCACCTAACAATAATCATTTGATCTTACCATAAGTCTCGAGCCAAAAGCACCCTTTGGTAATAATAAATTGAGGTTATTAGATCCGACAAAATCCTGGGCCAAATTAACTATCGTTGAGACAAGACTTATCTCGCCGTGATGATATGCGGAATGTTCAGCTACGTAACCGGCTAATTGTGCGACCTTGAGCATTTCAAAATATTTTAATTGGGCTCAGGTAATCATCAAGAAACATTAAAAGGACATGTACCTTAATTTCGCCTTTGAGATTTCTCTTAAAACAACCGTACAAAACTTTGCGCTGACCAGGCTTTAAACCATCAACAACGGAGGGAATCGACCGAATATTATCAGCCATACTATAGAGAATTAATTCTTGATTCACGAAATTCTCGATCGAAATCGTGTCGTTGCTATGATCGATGTAAGTTCCAGGCTGACAAAGGATTTTCATATACCATTAATTAATAAGGTCGTTCAAGAAATAAAAAACGCAGAGTTTATTTACCCTAAATTGACTCAGCCATTCTTTACGTGCATCCGCTTTTTTCTTGTTGAAAGCCATATCCATCAAATTTCTTTCTCGATCTTGAATAGGTTCAAACGGCTTTCGATGACGCTCCAAATCCCCAAAGTAGGTTTGTGCATCTTGTTTCGTGTTTGTTCCCAACCCCTATATGCAGAAGAAAAGGTCAATGTGTGCAATCTCTAAGACATTCAGAAACGGATTCGAAACGGTCTGCTCACTTACTTTGTAATATTTGATATCCCATCCTTTACCATTACCATTTTCTTTTTTCCATTGTTCATATTCGGGTATCGTGAAAAAACTCAGCACTTGTTTATTCTGTCCACTACCTTTTTTGGTAGCCTATGCCATCGCAAAACGTTAATAATTCTCTGCAGAATACATAAACACTGTTTTAGTAATAATAATAATAATAATACCTTGACGATGGGAGTAATAAATTCCAAAAGGAAATTAGGAATCTTGAGCAAAGAAGGGAAAAAGTGATCTAAAAAGTTGATAATAAGCCCCTTGATATGTGAACCATCATGATCCTATTATTTTACAATAAGATTTTATTAATAAATAATTTTAATCACCAAGAGCAACCAAATATAGCATACCTGATCAGTCATAATCATCAATGAACCATATCGTAATTTATCTACCGAGTCATATTTTGTGCCGCTTTGAAGGCCAAGAATCTGTTTAATGTTGGTAATCTCTACATTTCTTATGACAGAGGTCGAAGGAGCTTCACGAACATTTAACAATTTTCCACGAAGAGGGAACACGCCATATCGATCACTTCCGATTACTGAAATACCCTGGGTGACGATTGTCTTTGCGGAATCACCTTCGGTCAAAATAAGAGTACAGAATTTTCCGTTGGCTGTTCCGGCATCATTGGCATCGTCAAGCTTTGGTATGTTAAGCCTGACCAAAAAGGATCGAATGTGATTAGTTTATTGATTTCGGAAGATACACATAGCACACACACTTGAACTTATTTATATGCACATACTTTGATTTTTTACGTCCGTCGGTTTTCTTAAGCGCCTCTTCGTCTTTACGTGATAAAAGTGAAGTGATATTGTCGATTACCTTGGAATTAATAACTAGAAAATAAACAGCAAGATCAATATTGGAATTGCTATGCCAAATACTAGTATATTTATTATTGAAGACTTTTATTATATACTTTTTTTCATGAAAGTATCACTGATTTCGCAAGTTGAACCGAAATGATGTTGACCCGTGGTCAGAGTTTCTTTTGTTTGTGAATCAAAGGAAGGATTGACAATTTTACAATTGACAAAAACCCAAAGATTCGATTTTATAAATTGCTTTTTGATAGCTTCTTTTTTTTTAGTTTTCTTTTTGATGAATTCAGATAATTTGGTGACTATTTGATTAACAAGGTACTCCACATGCGAGCCGCCTTTTGAAGTGCAAATACTGTTAACAAAGCTGACCTAAAGAAAAAATAATGATTAAGTTTATATAATAATGAAATTTCTATTTAACGTTACTCACTTGTTTAAATTGACCATCACTTGGCGCGAAACCAATTTCCCATCGCTCATTCGGTGCTTCGTAGATGAGCTTGACTTCTTCACCTTCGTCGGTGTGCGCGTCAAGATACAGTTGGATATATTCCTTGAAATTTTTGATGCTTATCGTCTCATTATTAAAAACGACTTTGACTTTGGGCAGAATTCCAGCCATATCATACGCGCGCTTCTTCAACAAAGCCTCAAAATCGTCATCGATCTCTGTCAGTTTGAATTTTTCGAGATCGGGCTTAAATGTGATTCGCGTGAATTCCTCGCATTTCAGACTAGTGATTTCAGGTGGTTCTATCACGCTCATGTTCTTGCGAAACACTTGTCGATATTTCTTTTTGGTGTTTTTGTCGCCGGTCTCGACGATGAATTCGGTACTGTAAATGTTTGCGAGTTTGGCGCCAAATCCGTTTCTTCCACCAGTTGTTTTTTGCTCATTATCATCGTAATTGGAGGATGTCAGCAAATGACCAAAAATTAGTTCTGGGACGTACATCTTTTCACCTTTGTGAATTTCGATCGGAATCCCACAACCATTGTTGTAAATGGATATCGTATTATTTTCTCGATCTACATCCATCTTTATAGTATTCATCTTTGGGTCTCGAGCCTTTTAGAATTGAAAAATATACACGAAATTAACACGAGTTCGTTTCTTCTAATTACTTGTAGAATCAAATAAGGAGATACCTTATTATCGGCAGCATTAACAAGGAGCTCATCGATGATTTTATAGAAGCCAGGCACATACGTGACATCTTTATACTCGAGCTTACTCGTTTCAGAGTCAAAGATCCACAAAGATTGAGTAGTAGCCTCCACAGAACCTATATAAGAGTCAGGACGCAACAAGATATGTTCCAATTGTGTCTTTTTCTGATAAATATCTTCAATAGCCTTATTCTGATGAAACGCATGCTCTTCTCCCTCGGATTGAACTTCCTTATGTGCAGATGCCTCTTCCATTTCCGTGTCTTCAATGTCTTCAACGAATTCATTTTCATTTGTAATTTGTTCTTCCACCTGCTTTTTCCTTCCTCTTCCAGTGGTAGCTGCAGCAGTTTTCTTAGTAGTAGTTTTTCGAGGTTTTGCAACTGCTCTTTTGGTGGTAGTTGACGCTTTAGTAGCTTTTGATGTGGCTTTTTTAGCTCTAGATTTTACAGGCACTTCGCCATCGGAAACATTTTCCGCGTCAATAATCTCCGTTATTTTTGGCGGTTCTTCCTCAGTGACCTCCGTAGTACGAGGCTTTTTAGTCACGCGCGGTTTCTTTGCTGTGGTGCTGCCCGGAGCACGTTTCATTTTTAATGTTGCTAATATTCTTCTAGCAGCAGGTAGAGACTTGGATGTTGGGGTTTGTGTAATAAAACAAGTAGAAAAGTAGCGTTTGTTGGAAGAAGAAAAAACGATATTGAAAAAAGTTATTTTTGTTTGTTTAGTTAAAAGTGAAGCGGAAGAGGGTGAGAAATTTAATGGTGATGATAACACTGTTTGCTTAAATATCGAGATACGCGACTTTAAATTTATCATTTTACGTGACGGATCGTCGTCGTTTCCCACCAATCAGCGTCGAGAATGATAAATGTATATAATATAATAAATCGTATCTTACGAAAAAAAATATATCAATATTATTTGTATTCTTGTTAAATTTGATTCGATATTCGGTTTTTCAAGAGGAAAAATATCGCAAGAATTTTTTTTTACTACAAAATTTGTATGACTCATGAAACGACGCGTATCAATAACAACAATAATAATAGGGACCCTCGTTCAATTCCTAAATCAAGGCTGTCTTTTAGACAATTAAACAGCGTGAGAAAAAATATTTGAGATAAGAATATGAAAAATCTTAGTTTATAATAATTTGTCTAAAAATATTGTGGATCCTTATATCAATTAAATAAAGATATTGAATGCTTTGGATTTTGTATTATTTTTAGACAACTTGTCTAAAACTCACAATTTTCAAAATCTTGTCTAAAAGACAGCCTTACCTAAATGGTACAAAACCGCTGACAATGAACTAGTTATTAACGTTAACGTTAAAATATTGATACATGAAATTTTAGCCTTACAACGTTTATTATGAACCATTTTTTATGTCAATGCTACCCATGTAAAAAAACCTGACTGTGAGAAAACAAAAGCAAGTAGTTTAGTGATAGTTCATACATGCATGAGATCATTTTTTCTCTCTTTTATCAGATGACATCATTATCCAAGGATGGCTTTTTAGGTTTTGTGTTATATATTATTGTCGACGTTTTTATTCACCTTTGATGCATATCGATGTTCTTTAATTTGTGGAAAGAAAAAAGCGAGTCGAAGTTTCACACGATGCAATGCACTCATTATTTTAACTTCTTTCAATTCCAACAGGATTTAATTCAACTTCAACTCCATAAACATCATTTTATCCTGATACACGATGCATAACAAGCATGTACATGCACGTATGTATTATTATCGCTATGAATTTTTTTTTTAATCCATCAATTCAATCATATCAAAATCAAATCAAATCAAAATCAAATATATATAACAGGAATAACAGGAGAATTCGCCCAGTCGAGTTGTTAATTGTGACATTTATGGTGTGGCTAACACTTCTAAAAAAACTTGATGGTCGCACAAACTCTAAATTTGTTGTGATGATGATTTATGATGTTATTTAAGCACGAGTTTTCGTTATTTATTTGGTTTATTGTAATAATGATAATGGCCACGCCACGTTATATAGCATAAAAAAAAAGATTGACATTGTTCCTTTATCATTTCCCCAATCTTTTATCCCATCTCGTTCGATATTAAACAACAAAGAAAAGATTCAATTCTGGAAATTTGATGTATTATATTATTATTTATTTTTCTCTGAAAAGCTCGTGTTTTTTCCTGTTTTATACAAAGAGCACACGTATTATGTGAACACTTGCACTTGCACATACACATACGTAACAAACATACTCCAACCTACATAAATGTGCAGATGCTTAAAATATATAGAGATATAAATAAAATATATAAAAAGAATAACTATAACAGTGATTTTGATCGAAACGGGAAAGATGGTGAATCGAAAAAAATATATTTATTGAAGCCTCATCAATCCCTAACCAGGTAAGATCAGAATGTATGATTTTTGGCCGAAATTGCTTAGAAGTTTTCCACTCTTTTACAATTACATATAACCTTTAATAATCAAATCGAATACAATCTCAAGTATAAGATTACACCTCAATGAAAGAGAATGAAAAAACACATGAAGTGGCGTAGTTTTAGTAGTGTGTTGTGCCTCATTTAATTATGAGTTCTATTTTCAATAAATAATTATGATACAACCTTCCCAATGAAAATCCGAAAAAAGAAACAGGTTTTATTGTATTATTGTTATGTACGTGCACATAGATGATGTTTGTATGATGAGTCAGTTCTAAAAAAAAAATAATCTACTATTGCCTAATAATAATATAACAAACGATAACTAGTACGTAATAATAGAAACCAAAAAATGCCATCTTTTATAAAGTTTTGATTGGTTAGATTCGTCTCAATCATAGGAGGAGTAACGGCACGAAAATCTTATATCAATAATCACATTAGGTCTTCCATAACTTCACATAATAATAACACGCTATTCTGTGTTTCTGTTACCTAGTTAGTGAGTGAGTATCAAGTATAATGTTTATGTGCTCCCGAGCCGCTGATACTGCCGCCGCGTTGCAACTTTGTAAATTTTTTTAAAGATTTCATAGTTGTGTGTGTGATACTCCTTTCCTCTGCTCTTTTTGCAAAAATATCTGCTTCGCCCCTCTTCTTCTTGTCTCTCTTTCTGCCCGTGTGTCTTCTTGGTTTTTTATATTTTGTATTTTTTTATGTAATATTATCACAGTATATATAGTTAGTTGGATATATTATCTATCACAGGTCGACCCAGGACAACTCTTTTTTCTCTTGTTCAATTCTTTTACATTTTCTTTGAATCGTCTCTACTCTTTCACTCTTTGGTGCCTCAACTGAACAATAGTACTTAACAATAACGAAAATAATTAGTAATAATATTGTTACTACTACACCAAAAAAAAAATAATTTGCTGAAGAAAAATGGTTAGTCCAACAAATACCCAACCTGAGGCAGAAACCACCATTTCGAATGGAGCTCTGGTAAAACCTTCTAATGCTACTGTTAAACGCGGGTCCTCTCTCCCCGATCAGCCCCCGCTGAAAAGTGTTAACACATCGATAAAAAATTCGGGAAATGTGGTTATGAAAGTTAACGGGGAAACCCGTGAAAAAAATATCGAGAATAATAACAGTAATAATAATAACGGTGTCAATGGTACATTTAAAGAGTCGAATAAAAGATTTTCTAATAATAACAGTAATAATAATAATAATAATAATAACACTAATAATACTAATAATAATAATAATAATAATAATAATAATAATAATAATAATAATAATAATAATAATAATAATAATAATAATAATAACAACAACAACACTAATAATAATAATAATATTAGTAACAACAACAACAATAATAATGGATCAAATGTTGTTGCGAACGGAAAGAACTCAGAAATGAAGCAATCGACGAATGTTGCTATTGTTACCATGACCGATACCATTATCGAGGCTGACACTAATGATGAAACAAACGATAACAAGTATGAACAGGTATCATTGTCGGCTGAATCTCAACCATCGACAAAGTTACCGATACCTGCTCCGATTCCTCCTGTCAACTATTGGGAAATGAGAAAGCAGCAGAATGCTAAAAGGGTACCTAGTACTCCTACTACTGATTCACTATCGTCCTTCGCTACTGTTGCTGCTTATAATAACAACAGTAATAGTATTAATAACAATAATAATAATCATAATAACAGTAATAGTAATCATAACAACAATAATAATCACAGTAATAGTAGTAATAACAATAATAATAACAATATTAATATCGAGAAACAATTGATTGATAATAATATTAATAAATTTAACATCATAAAAACAACACCAATAACACCGATAACACCAACAATATCAACTTCATCACCATCAATGATGGATAATTCAAACATTAATGAAGATCAGAAATCTTTGGATGGTATGCTTCATCCTAATTATTATCTTTATCGAAGGGTTGATGAATAGCTCCAATTTATTGCAAGAAATTGCAGCACCTGACCAGTTCGTAGTGAATTAAAGCTTTTGTTCTAATTCTCAATTATTAAGTAGATTCCAAGAAATCCTTGAAGAAACCCATTACAACAACAGCAGCAGCAACACCAGCAGCAACAGCAACACCAGCAGCAACACCAGCAATTACAACGATCAAAAAACCTAAATTGACTCCGGTAATACCTCCCTTAGAAGATCAAAGTAGTTGGCCTGCACCGGCTGAAGTTTTGATAAAGGATAAGGAAAAGGAGGCAAATGAAAATTCAGAGAGAAAACAATCTGTGGATTTTTCTAAAAGGGAAGACAGCAGTCCGAAACGAGGTATTTATATATATCTATCTATCTCTATATCCCTATTGAATAATTAATTGATTGATTATTTTTTTTAATTTTAATTAGGCAAGGAGAAATGGATTCCGTACGTGCTACCAATTACTCATTCTACACCACCGCCAAATCACGGACAAAAGCATCGCCGGCGCAGTGAGGATTCAGTCCCTCATACCGGAACTAGAGAACGTCGAACAAATGTCGAAAAGCCATTCAATAGTAATGCTGAATCTGCTGAAACATCAACAATGACTGCAACAGCATCACCGTCAGGATCATCGTTACAGCAAAATGGCAACTCGAATCCAAGACGACGTGCTAGCGTGCCACCACCAAATGGACGTGAACAATATAGTCGTCGATATTCTCAATCTGCCGCTGATAATGGACAGCTAGGACATCACATGAATAATGGATCATTTCGGGGTGGACGAAGAGGAGGGGGTAGAAGTATGTATTTGTAGTACCTATAATATTGTTTGAATTGCTATGGTAAAATAATGATGTGTCATATTTAACAATGACATTTAATTTAAGGCCGACCATTTAATGGAACTCGTGCTCCACCACGATCAACGACATATTCTTATTCTGCCGGCTTTCCACAACAATATGGAAACTTATTTACGGCAAAGATGCCTCCATATCTTTATGACATAGAGATTTTGAAGTATTACATACTCCAACAAGTGTATGTATTTTTTTTTTGTCGAGTCATGCTTTTGTGATTTAGAGGTGATCTAATTAAATTTTTGAATTACTCAGCGAATACTATTTCAGTATCGAGAATTTATGTAAAGATTTATTTCTACGAAGTAATGTTAGTATCAATTTACCATTATTAAGTAATGTATTATTTATTTCACAAAATTATATGGTGTTAACATTTTTTTGGAATGTATGCGAAATTTTAGATGGACGTGTATGGCTTCGTTGATATATCATTGTTAGCTAATTTCAATCGAGTCAAACTCTTGACCTTAGATGAAAACCTTGTTCGTGAGGTACGATATTATATTTTCATTAATTATGTCTTTAACAATTAAACAATTACCAATTAATAAACTTATATTAATTGTTTAGGCTCTCCTCCATAGTTATGTTGTTGAGGTTAGCGGCGACAAGGCTAGAAAACGCGAAGGTTGGGAAATGTGGATATTACCGAACCAAAGCCAAGTAAATAGTATCAATTACGATTAAACGATCTTAATAATACTATTTTTTAATATGTTTTTAATTTATTATATAGCAAAATAGAAACGAAGATACTCTGGCCGAATCGACATATAATTATGACTCGTCAATTATAGAAGAATACGATAATGAGTACGTAGATAATAATAATAATGACACTACGACAATAGATGATGAAAAAGTGGAAACTCAAGAACTGGAAGAACAACAATCACAAGAACAAGAGCAAGACATAGTGATAGCAAATACTATAGAAACAATTACAACGACCACATCAACGTCAACTAGATTAAATGAATCATCAAATTCAACAAGTACAATCACCACGACGTCAACCTATACTCATAATATTACTCTCGAGAATTTTGAACCATTGACCGCGACAGCATCACGATGATTATGATGGCGATGAAGCTGTTCTAATAAACAAACTATAATGATTCAAAACCAAATTCACAATTAAAAATGACACACGCACACATATATGTTCTCGGCATTTCGAGAAACTATTGCGTAATATAATTATTATGTGGAGAAGAGAGATATATATAATCCAGTTTCCAGACTCTTTCTTTTTTAGCATAAAATTGTTCCCTTATTAATAATTTTTCTCATTAAAAATTTTGACTATTTTTCCTTTTCCTATGATCTTTCTCATTTTTTTTTCACACCCTCCTCTCTCTCGGTGTGTCTATCTTTCACTGTGTAGTATTTTTCTTTTGTCCTTTTTCTCTAGTTTTGTTGTTATTCTGTCTCTTTCTCTGTGTGCTTCTTTTTGTTTCGATTTTTTTCCTTTTAGCTTTTTCTATTATCTGGCTATTATGATTATTTTTTCTATGCCCAAAATGGATCCTTCAACTTAGTAATAATCATCATATCTCTATCTAGACTTCTAATAGGCTCATCGCACAAAAAATTGTTATTTTCGTAGTTGATTTTTTTATTTTTTATTATGGGTTTTAAAGTTGCTTGTTTGTTAGGTTAGTAGTGTGTGTGTGGTAGTACTATAAGTATATATATATAAAATAAATAGTCTTACAACCCTCTTTACTTTGTGCTACCTTAAAAGTAATTTTTTCCACAACAAAATTTATAAGTATTACACATTAAAATATACACTACTCGCAATGCGAGTGACTCTTCCTTTTTTTTGTAATGGTCTCGTGCGCTGTAATGTATGTATTTATAGCAAATGTGTTCTATTGATTGTGTTTCTTTTTTGTTTACACGCGTTACATAAAAATTTAAAACATAAAGTCATGTGATCGAGATCTAAAATTGAAGAGGATGCACGGGTAATACTAACGATGATTTTTGACGGACACGGGACATGTCCGCCCGCGCATGACAAGTCGACATTATACTAACGCTAATAGACGTGGTAATATCATGTGTTGTTAATTTCAGCCGGAATTTACCGATGCGTAATTTTAGCCAAATTTAAGACAAATCGAAATTTCTGGGTCCCTGCACGGGTTGACGTAGAGACACGTGCACGAATTAGTAATATACACAGATATCACCCCCAATATATCAGACAAAGCCAATGTGCACGAGAAAAAGAGAATGATGAATCAGATAAGATCAATGCGCGTGTGGGAAAGGTGAAACAAGACAAATCACTTGGGACAAATATAAAAAGATAATTCGTCATGGTAGAAGAAAAAGTCGCGTTTTTATAAAAAAAAAATAGATAACAGTCACGCAAATCAGGGGTAAATTTTTAGATTATCCAATAAAATTAATGAGCAAATGTATAATTAATACCCTAGCCACGGCGAAGTGTCTGATCATGTGATTTACCGGTGAAAAGAAAATGTCGGATCATGTGTTTACACCCACGATCGAGAATTGAATGGTATTTTCACATGATTTCGATAACAGGATATCGAGATATTTGTCTTTAAATTGGCGAAAATCTGACATATGATGACTTTCAGTGTGATATCTCGATAACTAGCGATCGGAATCGCATGAAAATACCATCATTCGATTCGCCATGCCTAGACGAATCGAATGGTGGTATTTTCATGCGATTCCGATCGCTAGCTATCGAGATATCGTTACTCCGCCACAATACCCCTTTTACTTTATGTATATTTTATTTTATAGATGTCCTGTTGGTGAGAAGAAAAACATATGTGACCTGGAGGGAGAAGATGGTTTGTGATTATGAAAAGAATGGCGTTTCTGTATAAAGTGACTATATCATTTAAAAAATTTAGTTGGCAAAGAAAACTACATGTAATTGATAATGCTAAAAAATTCATACATACTAATCGCATTATTATTAATGATCTCTTTATCATTAAGAAAGTACGCTATTTTATCAACCAATAGAATTTTAGCAAAATTAAAACCTGCTATGCACATGACAGACCAATAAATTTTTGATCAACCCGCCAAAACAAATCCGATACAAAAAAATGTGAAAAATACGGGAAACAGATGTCCAAATCTAACTTTGAGCTCTAATGAAAAATGTCGGGAAGGCAATTTTACGTATAATCTTGTCATCCAAACCCTAACCCTAACCCAAACGATAAAATCAACCTTTAATAGTTGCCGGCACACATGATTTGCGCATTCTTATTGGTTTGTTATCATGTGATCGCGAACCGAGCACAGATTATAATTAGTGAAACTCTCCCCATTTTTGGGAAGAGTACTATGAGTCACCAGTTTCTAATTCTAACTTTCATAGATTTCGCCACTTTTCTGGTGCTCTATTATCAATGCGAATTTAACTAATTCACATTGTTTTGTGTTCTGCGCGTTTTTAGTCCGTATTTCCAGTTTGATTATTTTACGGTGGTTCTATTGTGAACTACCGGATCTTTTTCTGGTCATT